AAAATTGTATGGTGTATAGGAAATGCTAATATGAACATTCAGTGAAATTTTCATGTATCTACAGTTATTTGTTTTTGAATTACAACAAAATAAGGAAATCGCTACATGGGAAATCGAGTGAATATTCAATGTTGTAAAAATTTGAATTTCAAACGCTCATAAAATTTAATTTGACTTTCTTATAGATATTTTTTTTTTGATAAAGGTAGATAATCTTATAAGGAATCTTGTGTTTCATTTTCAAATCTTAGATTTAAAAAGAAAAATTTTTACGAATTCTTAACTCAAAATAATTTGCTAATTTTCGTGATTTTTCCATATTTTGTCAATTTTTGAACTTTAAATGCTTATAAAAAAAAATTGTGACTAAGGATTTTTAATATTTTTCATCTGCCTTTGAAACAATATATTAGGAGCCTTCTATTAAATTTTCAAGCTTTCGCAACCTACAAATAAAATTTTATTGCTATTTTTAGAAAAAAAACTAAAAAAAAATGGAAAATGAAAATGTCCCTAAACAGTTCAAAATAAATCAAAATATTTTGAAAATGTTATCGTGTATAGAAAATGCAAATATAAACAACCAGTGAAAATTTCATGTATATACGTTCATTTGTTTTAGAGTTACACCAAAAACCAAAATCGATTTTTTGGAAAACCAATTTTGCGTAAAAATTCCCGTTTTTCCTTAATTTTTATGTTGTTTTTCCCGGCGCTTGTGAAAACTACTGGGAAATTTATACTTTTGACCCCCCAAAGTACCAACTAAATTCACTTTCCTATCAGAAAAGCTACTGATGAAGAAAATCCAAGCACTTTTACTGTCCTAAAACGTGATGACAGACACAAAAATAAAAAAAAATTAAAAAAAATTAAAAAAAAAACACACATCATTGTAAAATCAATACATTCATCGTTTCACTCAGAATCTTAAATGATACTAGTACCTAGTGTATTTGTCATTAGGTACTTATTTGAGTATTTGACTTTATCAGTAGGTATACTATACACTTATGTTTACGTTATTTTCCTTATAACTTTTTCTTCCGAGCCACAAGCTGGCCTCAGTTATTGCCACAGTATATTTCTATGGCAGAGTTAAGAATATTGTGATATTATATTAAGATTAAATAAAAAATCCATTGCACGCAACCGCTACTTAATATTTTCACTCTACAAGGAAAATCTTTTGTTGATGACTTGATGTCATATTGTGGCATTGTTGTAAGTAAAAACATAATGTTTGAAATTTTTTTGATAAATTTGAATTTGTTAATTTTAGTTTTCTTCTGTGTCACATAGTACTTTTTTCTTGTGAATATTTCTTGGACTATTATATTTGTTCTGTGATTATATTTAAAGTGAGTAATTGGTACTTTTATATACAGACATATTTTAGTTAGGTATCTTATTGTATATTTTTAAAAACGTCGATTATAATCGGTTGAGTTTATAATAATTAAATAATATGATAATATATTTAGATATATACACTTAATATTAATTAGAGCTGCAACTCGGATAAAACTCAAAAATAAACCCGGGCCGCAACTCAGATTATACTTTTTTTTTGTAACTATCTTTTGGACATAACAATAGTCCAGGAGCCACTTAAAATATTAATAAGTAATAACCTACAACCCACTGTAGCAGCGGCTTACGGCGGATAAGACCATTAATGTATACGCCATTGACTTATCGGTTTATAACTGATAATGAATTGGAAAAAAATAAAAATTCTTTAGGACATGAAACCACACCATAAAGACCATAAAGTAATTTAGTAATACCATTGATTATGAATACTATGTATAAATACTATTATACTAAAATTCATAATCAATGGGAATACTTACTCAATTATCTATATGAACCACACTCACATTTAATATTTCTATCACATCAAGAAGGCATAACATTCCCAGTAGGTACATGTATAGTTGTATAGTTCAACATATTATATTTAAAATTATACTGGATTGACGGATTGATCTGTTTTGTAATAAATTTAAAAATTAAAAAGTAGCAAACATTATCTTTGTTCTCCCAGATGTTTTTTATGTATTACGGTTTATACCTACTGGCTATACTGTATACGATTATAATACAACCCTTTCCGAAAATAAATCAAAGTTAAGCCACTGAAAATAGTATATCTGTATATGCACACTGGCACTTAAAACATACATACCTACTCTAAAAGTTATAATATTAATTTTGGTGTAGCCAAAATGTTCCTTATAAAGTTATAACTAATAATTATATTATATAAATTATATATATGACTAGTTATACACTTATACCTAATTCTTATAATATATATTTTATTACATGATATATAGGTAGATACTTATGTATCAATGTATTACAATTTAGTATTTACTATTAATTAATATATTATAAAACTAATAGCAAAAATGTTTAGCGGATCGATATTTGTTTGGAATTGATACATTTAAAAATATTTGGAGTTTAGTGTGTACATCAGATTCTTTTTTCAAGTATATCCATGACTTATATTATACAATACTAGCCTACAGCTTGTAATATAATATAAACATATGGAAAGAATACTTCAAAAATGTCATAAGACATCCACTCTAACGTTGGCAGATTGAACACAGATGGTGGCAGCTAGCATAGGGTACCTATAGAGTATTATACTACACATTCATACTTAAAAGAGGTCATTTATTTTAATTCCCTATAGTTATTTTTGAACAAAGTAGCGAACTATTATGGGAGAAATCTGAAATGGTATGAACTACAAATTAATATTACAACTCTTTACAGTGCAATAAGTGCATACCTACCTACTATAATATATTATTACTCGAAATAAACGATAAAACCATTTTAACCGAAATAACCATTCTCGTCGTATTTGTATACTTTACAAAACAACCACCTACCCAGTTTAATATTTATAAATTAGAAATTTAAAACATACACCCTAACCATAAGGAATAAGAATACTGAATAGAATAATATGCTCAATGCCTCAATGATAATAGTGGGCTTGTTCTTTTAAGGGCCAACTCAAGCTGACTTCACATGTAAAGAATATTTTATAATTCCATACTATACAATGCAGTATGCACAAAAACACAAGGCAATGCACATGGGCGAACAATAGGTGTTGAGCATACTTGCATACTTCTTATTCCTTTTATACTATGGTAAATTTTTGACTGCAGTACTGCAGCATAATTTGTATATTTTGATTTGACTAATATTTAATAGTAGCTATAGTTATTAGATAGCATACTTATTATTTATACAATTAGGTATAGTTATTAATTTGTGTTTGACTCCCGAGTCCCGACAGTTCAACACGTCGTTGTAAATTTATCGAACTGGCATATTTTATCTTCCTATGGCTCAGATAAAAGTGATCATATACATATAATATTATATTGTGACTAGTGAGTCAGTTCGAGGCTTATCAAATTATTCAGTAATAGCATGTTATTATAATAACTATTATTCAGTATAGCATAATAATTCAATAGGTGGCATTAAACAAATTCAATCATAAATTATCGCACTCGCGGGAATATAACCGACGCTTCAAATATAATATCGGCTTCACGAGTCATGGATTTCTCATTTCTAATAACAGATTTTGTATATTCTTAAGATACCGACAAAAGGTCGACAATCTAATTAATACATACTCAGCTATATTATAATCGATATACAGGGTGATTCAACATTTATGTTACAATAATATACTATTACTTTACCTTTTATTGTAACATACATTTTGAATCACCCCGTATATATAATAGGTATATATTTGTATATAATATATATATTTGTATATATTACATAATATGTTATATTATGTCAATTATACAAAAAAAATTCTGATAAGCAAATCAATAAACTCATCATACCGAATTATTCTATCAAATGATTGTCCAGTTATACACATTACACAAGCCTGTCAAACTGTTATCTCCGAAGTATTAGACAATTTTTAAGTAGAAATATTGATGTCTCCCATGGCTCGGTCCTCGGTATTACCATTTACCACTGTAAAGTCCAATTAGATAAGTTCACAGCAAATACATTACAAGCTTGCACAGTCAACTATTATAGGTATAGCCGTATATGTAGGTATAAGTATAATAGATAGATAAAGAATAGATCTTTATTTAAAAGATGATTTCTCTAAACTTCCCGGATCGATTGTAGTATGTTACAAAAATAATATACCTAATATCAAATATTTATTATGGAAGACACAGTTACTATATTGTTATCTTCTTTGATCTTCATAAGTAATATTATTTGAGATGTATTCAATTCAGTATAATAATTGTTGCCTGTTGGGCAAATTGTAAGCTATCTTCATCGGTAATGGTAAAGCACGATTGAGCATAAAACGATTGAGCATAGAATATTTTATGCGATGTCACCACATTCAAGTGACCAAA